GAGTTACAGACAATGGTCAAACAATTGAGTATTTGGTCCTGCAGCTTGGAAGTCATAGATACCATCTGACCCCTTTCCTTTGCTTTGTCATATCACACTACTTCTCCAGGAAAGATATATCCATAGTACCCAATCTTCTGAAAATGGTCATTTATAAATACTACTGTATATGAATCTCTTGTTACAGTTTGAATGTGAAATGCTGTTCACAGTTTCATGTGTTTGAACACTTGATGCCCAGTTAGTAGCACTCTTTGGGATAAGTTCTGGAAACTTGTGGACATGAGGCTTAGCTGACAGATATAGGGCCATTGGAGCAGGGGTAAGGCTTAGTGGTTCTAGACTAGCTTTACTTTCAACTAGAGTTTGCTGATTCCCGGTCCACCAAGAGGTAATAAGCCACGCCACCACTTCCCACGATCACAGATGGAACCCCAGCAGCTATGCCTTCCCTGCCATGACGGACTGAATCCCCTTCAACCATGAGCCCCAAATAAATCCATCATCCGTTAAGCTGTTTCTGTCAGATATTTTGTCACAGCAGCAAGAAGGGTAACAAAACACCTTTTCTGTCAAAAGTAAAAAGCAAGCTGGCATTGAAGACTGGCTTCTGGACCTGCAGAACTCTAGGAGCAATGCAGCTGCTCTAATTCACACTATGTCTGGATCTGGGCTTCACATAGAGCTGCCCTAGCCCTGTCTGGTGGTGTAATACACTTAAACATGTAAATAATATTTGTGGAGTTATCCCTCTCCAAGACTTATCTGAAGAAAACATTCTAATGCCTTGCACTTATGTGTGAAGATGCCCGTTTTAATAGTATTTATAACAATTTAAACTGTAGAGCCTTCTACATTTGAAATAAGAGACTACTTAAATGAGCCATGGTAGCACTACAATGGAACAGCAAATGACCATTAAAATATTATTGAGGCTTATTCAATGATTCTGGAAAATTCTCATAATAGAATATTAAAGGTACAAATTCAGAAAACTCAAACTTTCTATGTTTCCAGGAAGCCTTTAAAAAATTATGTACAGGGAAGAGATGGAAAGAAAAGACATGAAAAATTTAGAAGTGATTTATCCAGGAGATAGAAATATGGATGGTTACCATTTTCTTCTATACAATTTTCTAAAATTTCAATACTAAACATGCATTAATTTTGTAATCATAAAATGGCTAGCCCAGTGGTTCAATGATGACAAGTGGGCTATGGAGGTCACTCCAAACTGGCCTTTCTACAGTGAGGCCAGTTAGGTTTCTGTTCAGACTTCTGCCAGACTACTGTGTGTGTGTATGCTCAGTGGCCCAACCACATGCTGGCATCCTGCACAGTCCAGGCTTGAAATGACAATGACGACAGAGTTGGAAGAAATGGTCTGAATTTCAACGGAGTGATTACAAGAGCATGCTTTCTCTGACAGTTACCCGCTGCCCGGTGCTCCCGCCTACCAGTTTCGGGGTCACATTGGTGTTCACAAGGGTCCAGGAGCCGCCGGGCACAGAGGTCCATGGCCCAGGGCCCACTGGAGTTCTGCTGAGAGAAAAGAACCACTTGGGCAGGGTTCAGCCAGTCACTGGCATCCAGCTGGCTCCCCTCCAGCAAGATGAAGCGGCTCCCTGCAGGGTGACAGAAAGGAAACGTGGCCACAGGTGCACATTCACTGCAGGAGTGCAAGGCACGAGAGACAGAGTAATTCCCATCCAAGACCATTACTCCCACCAGCCTTAGCCTGTCATCAGCACCAGAGCAAGGGATCAGCAGATGGAGGTTCAGCTATCACATCCACTGTTGTGAGGACAAGGGTATTAAGCCTTCCAGTCATATCATCCCCACTGCCTTGCCTCATCCCATATTTCTGGAGTGTTCCTAAGGGATACAGGGTCAGAGAGTCTCTGTGGTGGCCATAGCATGGCTCCATCAGACCTAGCCACAAGACATTGGCACTGGTCCAAGGAACAGGGACCTGCTGCCTGTCTTCACTTGCCATGAAATAGCAGGTCCTCCGACACTGTGAACAGTCCCCACCTGTTCCCAGCCTTACAGCAACTGAGAGAACAGACATTAACAAGTCAATTAGGTGCTGTGGGCTTAAATGATTCAGGGACTCTCCAAACCTAGATTACTCCTTCATTATATTGGGGTCTCCCTGGATGAAAGTAAATTATTGCTTTCCAGGTCTAGCAAGTTACTGCAATTAGGAATTTCTCACCTGGGTAAAGCAAGGCAAAGCACAGCTAATCCTTAAACACCTCTACTGCTCTGTTTAGCTTTTAATTCCTTAAAGACTAACAGGATCTTCGTGTCTACCCACCTGTATCCAGTGTGCTTTGCATTTCTTTCCAAAGTGTGGCTTATTTCAAAATGAAGAACAGGAATAGGAAAATGTAGATGGCCATTGGTGGGCAATCTAACCGTACCCTCAATCTTATTCATCTGGGTGCATCCTCGCTTCCCACAATTGTAATAGGAAACAGTGACCCTTGGTTTCTCTATCTTTTGCCCATTTTAGAAATTGTCTTGTCTTGGGGAAGAGGTCACTTTCTTGACAGAATGGACTCACCATCAGCAATCAGATGTTCGGGAACATGAAGGGTGATTTTGACTACGAGAGGGCAGCTGACGTGAGAGGAGCACACCAGGCCAATCACACAGCTGGTGATGCTGATCAGGGTCAAGGTGGTTTTATTCACAGGACTTCGGGGAGAGCCCACTGAAACCAAGACAGAAATAAGACATAGAGGTAAAAACTTAGGTACTGAAAGTCTAACTTGGCCTTCTGCTGGCAAACAAGGGAAGTAGTTGGCAAACCTAACCCATAGTAGGCAGAAAACATCTCTACTACATGACCTCAGTGAGTTTATTTAGAAATATCATGTCAGTTGCTGGAGCAGAAGAAACTTGGCCAGCAGGGTCAGTAGTGGTGAACTAAGTGCTAACTCTCTGCATTTTGCCCCAGTCATGTTTATAAGAGATCACAAAGGGAACGTATCTCTCCATCCCTCTATTGCCCTGGCTGAACCTCAAGCTCTTGGGGGCAAAATGCTTAAACCCTATATTGCAGCTTTATTGTTGTCCCCAGAGGATGCTGTGACTGAGGGCTGTGCTTCCATAATACAAACCAGGGCTTCCAGGAGGAGCTTCCCTGGCTGGAAGACCTTATGCTTATTCAGTGGGTGAGCAAAGGGTGTTGTCACACTAGAATCTTCACCAAAGTCCTTAGATCACTGGATGGAACTTGTTGCTGGGATACAGGAAATATCCAGGTAGGTGAGGACAAGGGGCAGGATAGAGGAAGAGGTTTGCTTTGTTTGTTTATGAGAGGGGTTGACATTTTGTTACTTGTGTTTATTTGTTTGGTGGAAAGGATGGAATGCTAGTGGACAGAGAGATCTTTTACATGGAGGTAAAATTACTACAGGAGAATGAAAGCAAGGCAGTAAAATGGAGAGGTCTTTTGTAACTTTCTTATTTGCATTGACATTTATTATTAATACTAATAAAGTTGCATTTAGTAGACACTGTGGCAAGAATTTTCCACACATGATTTTGTTTTAAATATTCATTTCCTTACAATACACCTATGAATCTGAATGGTGACTACCTACTTTGCCGAGGAAGAAAGTAAATCTCAAAGATCATGATAGCTCAGCACAACAGGTATCACTTACAGAGTGGTCATTATGTGTCAGGCAACTGCACCCAGGGTTCTACCTGACTCACATCACTGAACAGTAATCAAGGATATCAAAAAGTAGCTCTCATAGAAGAACAGAACCTTAGAGAGGCTGCAGGGCATTTATAAGTCCAAGCAGCTACAAAGGTGTAGAGGTTTTGGAACTGTTGCTCTCAGAAATGCAAAGGAAGAGTTTGGGACACATGACCGCCCCGTTCCTTAGCTGGTGGGTTCCTCTGAGGGCATGTGTGGAGAGTTGCTAGGAGAGAGAGAACTAGGATTTGCAAGTAACCCCTGGTCCCCCATTTCTTGTTAGTAGGAGATATTCTATTTATGCTAGCATCTTTCCAGCATGGAGTCCATTTGCCCACACTTAAAAGTCTCCAAACCAGCCTATTCTCAAAGCAGACCCACTAGCAGAACATCTTTCAGGCACTAAAATGCTGCACGTCCCAAACTAGACCTGTAGCCTTCTCCAACACCCGGCTTCCTCTCCTATTTCCACTGCCCAGGAAATGAATCTGCCATACCCTTGTTTCCCAACTCAAAGAACTCTATGTCTAACTCTCCTCTCTTGATGACCATCTACACACCCTCCTACCACCACAGCCATCACTTATGTTAATTTCACCTCCATTCTCTCATCTTATACCAGGACTCTGGTGTTACCATCCACCTGTCTCACCCTCACAGACACACCCACGAGCACTCAGCTACCATCCACATTGCTCCAAGAGATCTTCATACAACGCAGTTGACCTGAAACTAGCTAAAACAGCAAGCCCCAGCCCTTCAAAGTCAAGGTCATGCTATTTCTGAATTCTGCTGCTCTTCCAGCTTTATTTCCTAAACAACCGCACAAATATGTACCCTAAACCTCGTCATAGTGAACTATTTTGTTGCTTCTTCACTGGATCATCACTTATGTCTTAGTGACTTTGCACATATTATCCCCTCCTCCACAGAGGGCCATTTTGTCACCTTGTCATCCTGGTATACACCTACTCTTCAAGTCTTAGCTCAAACAATCTCTCCCTGTAAACAGCTCCCGGAAACCTTGCAGCAAAAATTCCCACCCATCCCTGTTCCTCTAGCCCTCAGTGCACCCTGCTGTCACACCTTATTGCACAATGCCATAGCTGTTACAGGCGCTTTCCATTGCTCTCTTGTGATTGCAATAACTTGCAACTGGTATTTTTATCCTTTTCCTGTATGTGCATCATCAACTTATAATCCAACATCCCTGCTTGGCTTCCAAATCTTCAGTTGGTTCCTATTTGCTTAAGAAAACAAGTGCAAAAGAAATAGCATGGCAGGCGTGTGGTCTGGTAGCTAGCTTGTTTGCTGGCTTCATCCCCACCGTCCTTATGTGTCTATCTTTATACTCTGGCCAGAGCTACCTTCTCCCTTACTTCCTTGAAAGCCACATTGTTTTACGTCCTCAACGCTTTTTATGTCCTACTTTGCTCGACTGCAATGTTCTTCCTTTGACTTCTCTTTCAAGAAAGTCTATACATTGTTTATATCCCCATTCTAATTCATCTTTACTCCTATTGCTGTCAGGTAGAATTAAACAGTCTCTATTCTGAGTACTCATTTTATTTATATTATTAAGTGCCATGATTTTATGTTTCCATCATAATGGCTGAACTAGAGGAGATAGGTTATAAGATGTTTACACTGGTCTGATTGATGTATCCAGTTCAATTAAGCAAACACTAACACACATCTATTATAGGCAAAATCCTTTACTAGGCACTTTGAAAGAATAATTAGACATGCTCCACCCCTAAACCACTTACAGTTTAGTTAATAGCAGTAGATAGTTGATGTATAAGGAGGGCTTGGAATTTAAAGAAACAAGTCATTTTATGCTATAAAGCACTCTTTCTAATTCATTACCAGAGATTTTCCTAAAGACTTTATTAAAGCAAGTCACACCTGTTTTGATGTGGCCTAGGCTGAATATTTGCTCTATAATGTATTTTGAGGATCAAGTCAGGGAGGGGCTCATTCACACTCTTACCCTAGGGAAACCGAGACAGTAGAAGTTAGGCTACTCAAAGCCCCACTGCCTCTTCAGAGAACTAGGATAAGAAGAACTTGAATGCCCATGGCTAGAAAGCCTACAGACACTGACGCACAGAACTACATAGTCTACCTTCTTGCAGTCTCTGGGAAGAAGGAATTCTGTATGAAAAGAATTTGAGTGGAGGAAGGACATAGTCAAAATGCGTGTGTATGTGCGTGCGTGTGTGTGTGTGTGTGTGTGTGTGTGTGTGTTGACAGGTATTGGCTAAGTACTGATTGGAAATGCTATTGAGTGATGCCTACAGTGTGAGGCCACTCAAATATTCTCCACAGTATCTCAAAGGGATATCTGTCCAAGTGGGATGCTACAGAAACCAAAAACAACACTTGAGAGGTCTAACAACAATGGGAATTTCACAGTGTTTGAACAATAGCCTAAATAAATAAATAAAATCACATTTTAATATGATATAATCCTGACAGAAGCTTTATGCATGGGTTATTAGTAACTCACTCAATATGCATGGGAACTAAGGCTCAGAGGAGCTGTGTCCTTATGCAATACCACACAGCAAGGAAACGCTGAAGCTCATTGGTGTTTGAATGCAGAACTCCCTCAGAGGTGATGGTGACACCAGCAAAGTCACAGACAGTGGTATCCATAGCAGCTAAAGTCACATCCAAAGTTACTAAGCATGAGCCTGCAGTGCTACATACAGAGGCTGCAGGGAACGACAGCTGTGTCTAGGCTGAGAATGAATTAGCTTGCTAAATTCTGCCAGGAGTAATGAGGGATGTGGAGGCTTAGGGCCTGGGATTCTACTGAGTAGGGACTTAAAGGTTGAAAAAACTGAGTTTTTCCCAGATCACAGTTCATTCCTTACCTTCTATGCTCTCCTATCCCTGCCTGGCTCAATTCCAAGGCCAATGTGGCTGAGTTGATAAAGAGTACACATACTATCTATTATTTCAAATGTAACATACTATCAACTTTACTTGTCTGAACAGCAAGCTGTGACTGCTGAGTCTTCCAGAAGGAATTGAGAGTCTTCTGACCAAGAAACAGCCTTTCAAACAACTTGGAAACTGTTTGAGAGTGCCATTATCTGGGAGAGATGACGCTCACATGCTTGGTACTCTAGGCTCTTCTTTCTTCCTTGGGAGAAAACATCAGTTGGAGTCCAAGCATTCTTCCTGCTGAAGCTGGCTCTGCAGCCTTCTGAAGCCTCTGCTTTCCCCACCTGACCCACCCTTAACTTCTTCCCATCTCTCCATTATCCCTACCTCGACTACGCCTCCGGCTCCTAGAGGGGTCCGTGTAGAAGGTCAGCTGAGGGTCGTTTTCTGCCTCTGTGCCAGAATCCCCTTCAGGATTTAAAAAGGCAGAACCAGCTGAAACGAAAACAGAAACAGGGCAAAGACATTTTCCCTTTTCATGATGCAGAATCATGGGGGAAGTTCTAGTTGAAAAATCTCTAAGAATGAGAACAACTGACTGATACTTTGGGAGAAGTATGTGAGGGCTGGTGCTTCCTGATATCCAGATGTGCTAGAGAAGCAGATGTGTCTGACAGCAACGTCTAGAGCCCTGCTCCTCCCCGAGTCCATGTTTCTATGACTAGTACCATATTTGACATGTAAATGTGGAAAAGAAAAGAAGTGAAATGCCCCATTCTGGTTGGTGGGAGACTGGGATTACATCAGAGGGGAAAAGGGCCTTAGATTTCTGTGTGTGTTTTTTTTTCTTTTTTTTTTTTTTACTGGTTCCTGAATATATACATATACATACAAAAAGAATAAATAAAATATATAGAGATTTATACTGGGGACATATCCTCTAAATCAGAGAAGAAATCTTTTAACATTTGATGTATGTACTCCCTGTTTTTTTTTTTCTGATACTGAAACAGATAAAGGGTTTTTAATTCCCTCTAAAATGAAATTGAACCATATATTCTCTTTTATAACCTAATTTTTCCTCATTGAATAGACGGGTGGGCAACTTTCCATATTAACAAATGCAGAACCACATGATCGTTTTAAATTATTGCATGGTAAGTCATTGAACATTAGACAGATGTGCCAGATAGTTACCAATTCCGTACTGATGGACATTTAAAACCATTTTGTCTGTTAAAACAATGTTGTGATGAACTGTCTTTTGCACACATCTTTGCACACTTGTTCAATTATTTCCCAGGCAACATTGATGTTGATAGAAATACTTGATCGAAGGTTTACATTTTAAAATATTTTGATAAATAGCATTTAACTGGCTTTCTGAAGACCATGCCAGGCATAGACCTTCTAGTTAGGCATGGCAGAATGCGTAGACAGCACAAGGTCCCTGCCTCCACCCACATTCAAGAATCCAACTGCAGGCCTTAGACATGGGTACCTCTTGCTTTGTTGTTGATTCGCTTTCTCTGGCTACTGGAGGTGTGGGAGAGCAGAGTGGCCTGCTGGTGGTTGGAGTCCACGGGGCTGGTGGCTATGATATTGTCCTTATACTTGTTCATCAGGGACAGCTTGGCATTGTCACTTCCTGTAGAAGGACAAGTTAAGACAAACAGGGTTTAAGAGAAAAGGCAAAAAAGGGAGTAAGAGCAAGAAAACCTACATGAACTGAGCACATGGGATTTCATAGAAATGAAATAAGGAGCCACAAAATGAGAGGTTGATGGAAACTAAGATACTCGCCTTCATTTTGGGGGGAAACAAAGTTACAGGGAGAGGTGAAGTAAGAGGATTACTATTGAAAATCCAATTCAACAAATTCTCTATTGATGTCAGTGCTCACCAGCCTTCAGCTACACACAGAATGCAGATTTCTGTCTTTTGGCCAGCACAGGGTTTCAGGAGAAATCAAACCTGTGTGCATTCATGCAGAACACCATCCTTTTTCATCACAGTCTTCACCATTCCCTATTGTCTGAGATCTGGATTCTGCACATATTTGTTTGATCTCTCTGTCCCCTAAAGGAGCTTGGGTTTTAACCTCTGAGTCCCATATATCTACTCTGTGGCCCTAGCACTGTGCTTAGTGCTGTGGGGAACATGATCTATTTGGACAATTCTTCCTGTTCTCAAGTTCTCAAACTTTAAAACTTATTCTAGATGCCAAACAGAATTTCCATGTCCCTTTATGTGGTTTTAGTCTTTCCAGTGCCACCAAAAGTCTGTGCATCTTAGAGTGACATGCAGTATTAAATATGTCTTCCTCAAAGATAATTGGGCAGTACCTTGAAGGATAACTGTCAAGGGTTTGCCTTTCAAGATGTGCCTATTCATAGCGGTTTGAAAGAGAAAGAGGAGGACTGCCATAAAAGAGTGGTTCTTCCCTCTCTGCATGTTTTTGACCCCGATCTTGTTCAGCTGGATTAGAGCCAGGTCTCTTCCACCCATTGTGCCTATAGACACACCTCACATCTAAGATCTGATGCTTTGATTGCATTCCTTCATTTGCTTTGAAAAAGTACATCCTGTGTAGCATAGAGGCATGGACAAGATAACACAATTAAAACACTCCAGGCCCACATTTCAGGAGTCAGAGAAAGGAACAGGGAGCACTGTCACCTCCATTTCATTTGAGTAGTAACCTGCCCATGTGATGCACAAAAAAGTCAATGTAGGTTGGTTTTCTTTGACATCGCCTCAGTTCTCAGAGGTTTGCTCATGATACACCTACAGGGCTCTAACACTCTTTTGTTATGTGTAAACTCATCTCTCTAATGCCAGTGCTTGGGGGAAGTGGAAGGGGTTCTAATTTACATTATTCTTCTGATTTTACAGATTAGAAAATCATTATAGTCATCTAAGGAAATGGGAATTTTTCCCGATTATTTTTATATTCCTTGAGAGTTTCACACACGTGCGTAATGTATTTTGATTATATCCACCTCTCACTCTTCACTCCTATTCCTCCCTGACCCCTCCCCCACACTTCCTCATCCCAACATCATGGCTGCTTCTTCTTATTTTTTATAACCCACAGAGGCCATTTACTGCCGTCTGTGTGTACAACAGTGGAGGACTATCCACTGGAGCATAGGCAACCTATCAGGGTTCATAGCCCAGAAGAAAATGGCTCTTCCTCCCCCAGGGGCCATTAACTGCTAATAGCTCCTCAGCTAGGGGTGGGGCCCACGAAACTGGTTATTTTTTCCCCATGTAAAACACGTGATGAAGAAAGCCACCGAAATATTTCAGTTTACAACAGCAGTTAGCGATTCCTACTCATTCTTTAGCTCCCTGTAGCAAGGTCCCACCAGGCCCTCCCCTTCTCCCATCCTCACCTGGTGTGAGGTCCATCCCAGACTTCTCATTGCAGCCCTGCAAGGAGTCCAAGGTACGTGTGACCTGGCTGGCAAAGTCCTCCCCTCCATTCATGCATTCCCTCTGCAGGTGGTGACGCAGGTCTGTGATGTCATACTCATAGCCATCCAAGATGGGTGTCTCCCGGATGCTTAGGGTGCCGCTGGAGTTGTGGCCCTGCACACGGGCATTGCGCAGACTCTCCCGACCGTGGCCTCCAATGAGCACAGACGGGATGTAATGAATCTCATTGGCTGCCTCAGCACTGGCACTCTTCTGGGGCTGAGGGACCCTTCGACGTTTGCACCAGCGCCTGCGAGTATACAGGATCATCACGAGGCACAAGATGGACAGCAGCAGAGCAATCATGCCACCCTGGGAAGACAGGACAGCAGTGGATGTGCAAAGAAAGGGGAGCTCTTTCCATGGAGTCATTGACCCATCTGCTACCTCCACTCATCACTCATCCATTAATTTGTGCAATCATATGTACTGAGCACTTATAGCCAGCATCACTCAGTAACCAAGAAACACTCTGCTGACACTGCTGCTTAACATGGGAGAAAAAGAAAACTTACTGGTTAATGCATCATTTCAAGGGATCCAGCAAATGATTTGGGAGTAGGGGAGGATTGAGATCTCAGGTTTTTAGTTGTGGAAGTAGGGGGGGAAATTTGTTAACACAAAGATATTACGCATAAAGCTGGTGTGCAGTCATATTTTTAACAGCCAGGATGGGGTTGGCATTGAGTTTCTTCTTATATCTGACAATCAATCTTAGATGGAGTCTGACACTGGATCCACTGATCAATGAGTCCTGTCAATTCTAAAACTCAGACTTCTTGTCTGTATGATGAAGAAGGCGCCACTTAACCGCCCAGGTGGTTGTTAAGAATTAGGTTAAGTAACAACAGAAAGTGCCCAGCACAATGCATCACACATCATCAAGGCTGTTCTCAGAATAACCTTAACTGTCTCCTTCTGAGTAACTGGCCCAGCAGGGAAAACTGTCAACAAATTTACAGCCATCAGGGTTGAACACCAAGTGTGGGAAGAAATCCTCCTGTTTGCACATGACTTTTGTGGGCCACAGATTGTTTTGCTCCTATGGAGGGGAGAGTTGACACCATGTCCTAGAGTCAGGCTGATGAATGAGTTTCCTGCTAATTGAAAGGACACAACTTCAGAGCCTAATCCTTACAAGCCAGGACAGCATCCAGGCATCTGCAGGAGATGACGTAACAGTGGTTGGTGGAATTGATCACCTGGCCCTACATCTCTGGGAGAGGGTTTGGATACGTGGAAAGAGAGTTTTCCATGCCCATTCCTGCACTCCACGGACATAAATGTTTTTCTCCACAAACTGTGCACACTCCTTTATTTGGGACAACAGCTCTTCAAATCTATTTCTTTAGGTCAAGGTGTGCCAAGTGGTTTTACTTTTGATATCAAGTTTTAGTCACTGTCACCCTACTGTATAGTCTAGAGATGAAAAACCCCTATTTGTCCCCAGGGTGCGCACATGAGGACAGCTCAAGAACATTCTCCAAAGCACTTTAAAGGGGGATTTTCTAGTCCCATGATGATTATGTTCTAGGTTTATAAATTTACTCTCCCAGTAAATCTTGTGGCTTTGTCCTCCGTCTCCCACCATCTCTGTGAGAAAAGGAACCAACAGAATCAGCTGCCAAGTGGCAGGCCGTGTCATGTGACTGAGGCCATAACTTTGTTTTTCAATTATTTCCTAATTTACCTTGAAAATGTTTTCTCCTGGAACAATCTGTCATGCGAGCACAGAGTAAGGGATCACATGTTCTAGTCACACTGGTAGAAGTGCAAAGTCAAGTATTCTAGGTTCTTATAACTGCTATCTCCCCTGTAATTCATACTGAGGACTGTCAGACACACAGAGCAGAAGAAGTAGCACTTAGAAGACGTAGCACTTCAACTGTGTAGAACCAAGCCCCGCACTGATCCATTGACAATGAAGCCTTTGTGTCTGACCCAGTGCCATCATCAGGATCTCAGAGTCAGATGGGCAGTCCTTTCCCTCACCCCAAACTGAAGCTGCAACAATAGGTAATTAAGCCACAGAGAAGGAGTAACTTCCCAACCAGGAGACGTTGTCAGACATTGAATTAGGCCACTGAAAGCCAGAGGTAATTTTATTCCCTAAAGAGCTGTAAAGGAGCAACATAAACATCAATCTCTGAGGAATGGTTTAAACACCATCCTTCCGGCTCACGTAGGGGGTTTTAGGAGCCCCTCCACTATTTAGTGCTAATTCTGTGTACAGATGGTCATAACAGGGTTATGGTAAGATCTAGGTCCTAGGTTTATTGCCCATATCACACAGCAATAAAACAAGAACAGCTGTCTATTAATGGGTGTTCATTATGTATCAGGCAGTTTTTCAAAATGCTCTACATTTTTAACTTTAAGAGGCTGAATTTCCCCATTGTCAGTGTCACACACTGTGTGAATAGAAGGACTGTAGGGGGCCTCAGTGACTCATTTCAGAGCTTGTATTCTTTGTGTGTGTGGGTGTGTATATGTGCAGGAGGGGTGGGGGTTGCTCATACGTGCATGTGCTGAGATCAGAAGTTGGTAGTGCTATCTTCCCTATTGCTCTTCATCGTATTCTTTGAGACAGAGTCTGTCACTGGAACTGGAATGTCCATTTCAGTTAGATTGTCTGTCCAGTAAGCTCCCAGGGTCCTTCTGTCTCTGTCTGCACTGAGGTTATAGATGCTCACCACAGTTCCCAGTTTTTATTTGGGTTCTCTGGATCCAAACTCAGGTCATCAAATTTGTGCAGCAAGCACTATTCCCACTGAGCCATCTCCATAGAGTTCATCTCCCCAGAATACAGTCCCATGGCCTGTAGACCACCAGGCTTCAGTCATCATGATGTGATTTCTCCATGAACACTTAAGTTCTGGCTGGTCACAAATCCAAAGGGCAGAATGGGAACATGGGGATGACTGCACCTAGATCCATTTTCAGTTCACAAATAGAAAAAAGAAAAGAAAAGAAAAGAAACTAGCCAAAGCTCACATTTACTTGACCATAGGGAAAGGAGGTAGTATCATAAAGGACTGTTTACCAAGCAACTATTAAGAATCCAAATACAAGACGAGTTGGTAGAAAAGCAACTCAATTCTCACTTTTCATTTCCTTTGTGTTAAAATAAGACTATGCATATCACACATCACTACAGGACTGCAAGACACTATTAGTCCTCAGTTTAGCTGAATATTGCCAAAGAAATTCATGTTCCCTTTCAGCTTGGAGATTCCCTGAAATCTCTAGGTTAGGCCCCCTCCTTTTGTGATGAACAAGTCAAGCAAGACCCAGAGAGGCAACAATGCTGGTGGAACAGAGAGGGAACGCTGATTGCTTCCGGATTTACTAACTACACTTCTTGTGGGGCCATTTGTTAGATCCCTGTAAAATTCCCTTACCATATAGAACTCCCAGACACTGTATGAAAAAAAATCTTATGTTTGTTTTTCTAAAACACATAATTTATTAGAAGTTGGAACACAAGTTTTGTTTTGTTTTTTTTTTGGTCTTTTATGAGACAGGTCTCCCTACCTGGAACTCACTATGTAGACCAGGCTGACCTTGAACTCACAGAGATCTGCCTGCCTCTGCCTCCTGAGGAACACAAGGTTTTATTTAGCTAGACCAATGTATTTAGCTTCTCTAGTCTTGTTTTGGTGGGATGTTTCCTCTGTTGAGAGACAGTTGCTCCTGATGACTTCCGCTTTCTAGTAATCAGTTACCAGTAATAATTTCCAGACAGCAGGTGAAAACAGCTCAGGTCTTCGGAGAGGATTCTCATGTCATAAGTTCCTCTGTGGCTTCTCTGCTGCCAAAACCCAAATTGGTGACACATGTCACAATACTTTACCATGACTTCATAATTAATTATGGATTATTATACAGACAATAATATATATGCTATAATGCTGTGCAATATTAACATGCAATACTATTTAATAATGAGATTTTTAATAATTAATAAGATCACTATGTATAAACCTCTAAAGTGCTTACCTATTGTATTCTGTGAACAGATATCAAGTAGAGGCATAAAGACCCTTATTATATTAGAATAAGCCACAGGTCTAGAAATCTTAACAACTGTTCTTCTACAATGAGAACTTGGAAGTCCATTGTCACATTAAATGGTTATTACATTCTTGTGATAAGCCATAGTTCATTGGCATATTCATTATGTTTAACTCTCCTACTTTCATAGATAATTTTACACATGAAAGTCATGGATATAATAGGATATTTCTTTCAAAGAATCTAAATGAGGTAGCAGATCAAAATGGCCCAAACTTTAGGTGAAGGGCTTGGAACTTACTGATAACCAAATCAGAAAGAGGCAAGATATAGTTATCATGTTATCTGGAAAAAGAAAGTTTATTGAGAGGAACAAACTTCCTCCAGGAATGCAAGTCCAAAAGGCTGGGCAAGAACACGCCACCCAATACGGGCAGCTACACCACTCAAGGATATAGGGATAGTGCAAAAGTTGCCACCATGATTTGATTTGCTTTGTGTTTCTGGACTCCCTAGCTGTATTTAAGGTGTATTTGTGTTAGCTTTAAGTTTTATGGCACTGAAAAGCAAAAACAAAGCCATAAGGTGATTCTGAATTCAGGTGATGGGTAATAAGTAGCGAACTTGACCATTAAAAATAAATACAACCAACTTCATGGTATAGAATTGTCTTGATCTTTGTTCATCTTTGCATGAGTTTTTTTTATTATTTTATTGATTTTTCTAAAAATGATTAACATTTTGTAAATAGAATCAAACTTGAAGTATATGAGGACTCCACATCCATTAACGAATATGTTGCAAAAAAGTGGCATTTTTTAAAATATATTTTTCTTTTAAAAATCAATAAATCATTTCTACCAACTTAATAGAGATCAAACAAATGAAACACAGTTTTGTTTTATTGTGAAACTGATCTTCACCTGTGAGCAGAACATGATATTTGCCAGATAATTTGTATATTTTAGAATTTAAATGAAATGTTTTTTTCTATAACATTGATAGTAATCATCCAGAAGTGGGAAAATTCTAATCAGATCTCCCTTTTATGCTCATCCTGATCCCTGGCCTAACCCAAGATCCCTCATATCCTCACCCTAGGTTCTGGCCCATGCCTCCCTCTTAACTTATCTTTTAATTCACTCTTCAAAGTCAGTCCAGCCTCAAGACTTCAGCAGACTCTTGAATCTCAGTGCACTACCATGGACCTTTCCACACTACCTGCAAGTACTTTTACCTTTGACTTGCTTCTTCATCGTTTCTACTAGACTACAGACTTAATGAAAGCAAGGGCCACG